GTGGGACAAACCACCCTCCCCACCCCACCTGGACTCTGACCTCATCCGGGTAGGTGGCTCATAACGAACACAACGACTCCGCACAACAAATCTTTACGGTGGTTCTGTCTCTACAGCCACGTTACAGATGGCTGCACAGAGGGGGCAAGGTGCTCGCCCAGGGTCACACAGCCTGGTAGGGCAGGGCTGGGGACACGGACCAGAACCGACACTTGTAGCCTCCCAAGCGCTGCTGCTTTCCCCCGTGTGGCTCCCTTCCCCGACCCCTCATTTGGCTTCCGTCTCTTTCCAGCTTTGCTCCCTTCGTCACGGTGCTGCCCCCGTCACCCTGGCGAAGCCACGTCCCCGTCCTCTGCAGTTGGGCCACTGTAGCCAGTGGCACTTTCTCCCCCCGGATGTTCCCTTCGCGCTCCGTCGCCCCTCCAGCTCTCACTCACGTGTCACCCCTCAGAGAGGCCCCCCCTGCCTGCGGTCACCTCTAGCCCGCCTGTTTGATCTTCCCCCAGGCTTGGGGCTCTGCGGTTACCCCGTGCACTTATGTGGTGTCTCTCCCTCTGGCCTAGTGTGGAGGCTCTGGGAGGGCACGGCCCTGGTCCGTCTCGTGCTCAGCCGTGTCCCCAGCGCCCCACGGGGCCTGGCACGTGCCGGGCCCTCGGGAAGCATTTGTGGATGGATGAACGCGACAGGATTAAGCAATCCATGGAGTCATTAGCCCTGTTTCTGGAACTTCCAGGGGAGCCGGCACGTGTCCAGTGCCCGTGCCCCCCGTGTCCCGGAGCCCAGCTCGTGGAGCTGTCACTACAGGTCGCCTCTCCCTGGCCTCCAGCTCCTGAGAGCCCTTCGTTGATTTCTCGGGGGGCCGGAGGACGGTGTGGGTGTCTGGGCTAACCTGAGCGACACCCCCCCTCTCAGCCGTGGGCCGGCCTTCAGTGGTGGCTCCAGGCAGGTGTGGCTGCTGGGCCCAGGCCCGGGCTGGCGGATGCCTCCGGCTCTCCCCGGGCACGGCACTCGGGCCTGCCCGAATCACTGTCACTCTCTCCCTGCGGGTACGCTTCTTCTCATCCATCCCAGACCCTGGTACTTATTTGTGTGACTGCCACGTGAGCGTGTCCACGCCGTCTTATTCCGCACTGCCTGGGTCTCCACAAAAGGTCATGAAGCCGGGAGACCAGAGTCAGGAGCCACGCTGGGCCGTGTCACGAACACCTCTGAATGAGGAGGAGGAAGGTGCTGGCGGAGGGACTGACCCAGACTCCAGACCAAGGGTTCTCTC